CTGAAATGAGATAATGAATCTATAAAAATACTGCACTATTTCATCTTCTTTGTTCACTGGCTGTAAGCTTTGCTGAAAGTCCTTTTTGTTGGTCTATTTGGACATCATTTTGTGCCAGGGTCTGAGTTTTGTGTGTACATCCATTTTAGTGGCCTATTTGTGTGCCGCTGGTTGTTCCCTGCTGCTCAGGCAGATGCACTCTGACTTCAAAGGAAGTCCCCTGTTAGTCGACTCCTACGACAGATATGCTTGTTGGGGTGGCAGTTGGTCTATTCTTGCTTTCCCCACAATGGGAACCTGGAACCCACACAGGGAACTGCATTATTTAATGTAATTATATATTATGTAAATCAACAGCATTAAAACCTTATGCTAAAATACAACTGCCAACTGCCTTTTTAAAGGAAGAATGATTAAGAAGAATAAATGCTAAAATGTCTTAGAAAGAATAGCAATGGTAGTTACAGTTATTGGACATTTCTCTCTCCCTCCCTCATTCTCCCTCAGTTGTCTGCAGGTAGAATTTGTGAACCTTTGAAAATAAAGATAATTTATACATTTGTTACCTAACTCCCACTCAGTCTTTAGTCCCTATGTGAATGGGGTGAGCTCACTTGGAAAAAGGGGAAGTCTGGGGGTAAGGGGGGGGGGGGGGTATTAGACCGACAGCTCCCATAAATAGCAAGCTGTAAAGAGAATCTTGTTAGGCATGTTTTCTTTGAAGTCTGAATGCATCTGCCTGAGAGGTGAGGAGCCAACAGTGTGCACACAAAAAACCCACACCTGTAAAACAGATGTGTAAGCACAACTTAAATTCTGGAACAAAATGAAGTGGACAAGCAACCAAAAACTTTGCACCAGCAGTTACAGCTGATGAATGTTAAGAAGAAGAAGAAGAAACCTGTTCATGGAATAACTACTTTCTGAACACCCTGTACTTCTACAAAATGCCTACTGAAATATTTACCTACTTTGCCAGCTTCAGAACTTGAAAACAATATCTATGTCCTCAATCTTCATAATGCTGCGACCTTAACTCTTTGAGTCCCAAGGAACGCGTCATACGTTCATAGATTCCTACCTAGAAGCCCAATGAATGTAAGATGCGCCGATTGTACGTCTTTCTTGACTACCCCTTAGGCCTGTGATGCTAAACCCCCTGGGACTCAAAGAGTTAAATACAGTTCCTCATGTTGTGAGGACCCCCAACCATATAACTATTTTTGTTGTTACTTCATAACGTCAATGAATATGTGCTTTCCTATGGTCTTAGGTGACCCCTGTGAAATGGTTGTTTGACCCAAAAAGGGTCGCCACCCACATGTTGAGAATCGCTGATCTAAATATTTCCATGCACCTGATGGAGCTTAGGTTTTCTCTGATAATCTGTTTTGTCAACTTCTAAAAAAATACATGATTTAATGCGATGAATTCAAGAAAGCTAAACAAATTAGAGAGAAATTTCTGGATTCCAACTGCATAAAAAATTATAAGAAAAAAATAAAACTGATATCTTTTGCACATCCTGAGGAGAAGCAGAGAATCACTAAACAGGTGCTGAAATGGGAAACAAATGGACACAGGAAATGTTAACATTCAAGAGAAACCTCAGATGAACGTCAATGTTTGAGGCCAGGGATTTTGTCCACGATATCAAAAAGACCGCACTCCTCGTGTGGATTCCGAGGCCCCCATTTGAGGGGAGAGAGGGGGGGGGGGGTGGAGATAAGCCCACGTGCCCTTAAAAAAGACTGCACTCCTCGTGTGGATTCCAAGGCCCCCATCTGAAGGGGAGAGGGGGGGGGGGTGGAGATAAGCCTAAGTGCCCTTAAAAAAGTAACTCCTAAAAGGCAACTAATTTGGTATATTGCCTTTGGAGTTGGCTTGCATCTGCATGAGAGGCGAGGAACCAACAGTCTGCATACAACAAATAAGCCAGATCTGCATGCAAAAAGTCAAGGCCTGGAACAAGACTAAAATCCAGAGGTGGATGAACAACCATAACTTTCTGCCAGAGTTTACAACCAGTGAACGTAAATAAGAAGTAGAAGAGTTGAGTTGAGTTAAGAATTGACATCACAACACTCAGGGTATTCCCATGTGTGCTCCCTCCTAATCTTAAGCAGGCAGTGCAGAGTTCCAATACTGATGGTACCGGTCACAATCTGGTAGAAGAAGAAGTATAAAAAGAAAGGACTCCATAGGATAAATGGAACAGAGGACTAGGCTGAGAGCCCTTTGTGACATATACCAGCAAAACAGGATGATGATGATGATAAAATACACAGACTGAACAATTTCTCCAACAAACCTGTTAATACACTCCTCCAGCAAAGAGTCACCTACAGATATGCTGCCTTCAGCTTCACCAACATGGACAGTGGTCAAATGTTCAGTCAGCCGCGATGTGCTCAGAAACTGTTGTCAATACATACATAACATGGGGTTTACTGCTGTAACCACAGACAAAATCAACTATGGTAAACACTGTACTACAGACATGAGGTTACTGTTGAAAATACATACACAAAATGGTGTTTACTGCTGTAAATACATAATGACATGGGCTTTTTGTTTAAAATACATAGATAACATGGGGTTTACTGTTGTCAATACATACATAATTTATTAACTGTTGTAAATGCATACATGACACTGAGTTTACTGTTGTAAATGTACAAATGACATGGAGTTTACTGCAGTAAATGCATACATGATTAACTTGTAAATGCAAAAATGACATGGGGTTTACTGCTGTAAATTCATACATGATTAACTTGTAAATGCACAAATGACATATGGTTAACTGCAGTAAATTCATACATGATTAACTTGTAAATGCACAAATGACATGGGGTTTACTGCTGTAAATTCATACATGATTAACTTGTAAATGCACAAATGACATGGGGTTTACTGCTGTAAATTCATACATGATTAACTTGTAAATGCACAAATGACATGGGGTTTTCTGCTGTAAATTCATACATGATTAACTTTGTAAAATGCACAAATGACATGGGTTTACTGCTGTAAATTCATACATGATTAACTTGTAAATGCACAAATGACATGGGGTTTGCTGCTGTAAATTCATACATGATTAACTTGTAAATGCACAAATGACATGGGGTTTACTGCTGTAAATTCATACATGATTAACTTGTGAATGCACAAATGACATGGGGTTTACTGCTGTAAATTCATACATGATTAACTTGTAAATGCACAAATGACATGGGGTTTACTGCTGTAAATTCATACATGATTAACTTGTAAATGCACAAATGACATGGGGTTTACTGCTGTAAATTCATACATGATTAACTTGTAAATGCACAAATGACATGGGGTTTACTGCTGTAAATTCATACATGATTAACTTGTAAATGCACAAATGACATGGGGTTTACTGCTGTAAATTCATACATGATTAACTTGTAAATGCACAAATGACATGGGGTTTGCTGCTGTAAATTCATACATGATTAATTTGTAAATGCACAAATGACATGGGGTTTGCTGCTGCAAATTTATACATGATTAACTTGTAAATGCACAAATGACATGGGGTTTACTGCAGTAAATTCATACATGATTAACTTGTAAATGCAAAAATGACATGGGCTGTACTGCTGTAAATTCATACATGATTAACTTGTAAATGCACAAATGACATGGGGTTTACTGCTGTAAATTCATACATGATTAACTTGTAAATGCACAAATGACATGGGGTTTACTGCTGTAAATTCATACATGATTACTTTGTAAATGCACAAATGACATGGGGTTTACTGCTGTAAATTCATACATGATTAATTTGTAAATGCACAAATGACATGGGGTTTACTGCTGTAAATTCATACATGATTAACTTGTAAATGCACAAATGACATGGGGTTTACTGCTGTAAATTCATAGATGATTAACTTGTAATTGCACAAATGACATACACACATAACATGGTCTGTGGGGGTATTGTTATAAATACATACAGGGTAACTTTTTGTAAATACATACAGGATTTTATAAATGTGATACACATAAGAAAAATAATAGTGGCATCCTAAAAGATGTGAACATCAAAGAATACTGGCTAGTAAACAGCATCTTGCCTCTGAAACTGATACACTTTGGCATAATCAAACATCACACAACATTTGAAAAAAATTACAGCAGAAGGAATGGCACCAGGAAAGAGGAGCAGAGGCAGGCCAACCAGCACAAAGATAAGCTTAGAATATAAGTGACACCCTTGGCAGGACAGATGTTGAGAGATGAGTTTCTTTCAGGTAGAATGTGATGAGAGTGACTTTCTGCAAAGGAACAACTAAATGATGAATGTTGAATTAAGAATCGACATCACAGCACTAGGGACACCCCCATAAGTGCTCCGTCCCCATCTCCAGCAGCAGGCGAAAAGTTAAAATTCTGATGGCACCAGTAACTGTCAGATTGTATATCTGTCTCGCTTTTTCCCTGAGTGTCGAACATCGACCAGATCCCCTTGTAACTCCTCACAGTGCCATTCTCCTCAGATCGTAATGATCTATCTGTTCCTCAGCACTGTTCACTCATTCCCATAGGGCCCTCACAACATCCAGCCTGTCATACATCAATTCACCACCAAGTGGTGCAGAACTGGACAGTTTATCTGCCTGCTCATTTCCCAACACACTGGCATGACCTGGAGAAAATATCCAAAGAATACTAACAAACCAAAACCTATGAAGTGATGCCTGCCACTATGCACTGAGCATGCCTGTCTCCACCTTTCTCAGCATGTATGTGAGTCAGTTACAATGAGGACAAGTGTGTACAGCTGATTCTCAAGCCAACGGAAGGCAGCAGTGACTGCCTCCACCTCCATTCTCAAACTAGACGTTGTGATATCATATGCCAGGCTTTGTTGCACCAACCGACATCCATTCAACTTTGCTATGAACCATAATGATATACTGAAATTCAAATGAGACAGAATGAAAATGAAAACCAACCTTTTCATTGCAAACAGCACAGCAGTAGATGACTCGATGCTTGAGGTAATGTTTGTCAAGGTACACACGACGACTTGCCCAATAGTCGCACAGTTCACACTGGAAAACATATTTTGTGTATTTGGTTTAAAAGCAACCCATTAGCGTTGTTGTAGATCTCACTTTAAAGCTTCTTAACTCGTCTGTATTTCGTGTGTTAATTATAAATGAAGTGTTAACTACTTCCAAACCGTGACCAAAACATGGGTTAAATTTTAATTTGCCATTATGATTACATTGTTCAATTTAATAGTCGTATTGACAGCCAAGGTTATTGTGTATTTCTTTATTTATTGTGACAGTCAGTTAAAGTAAACTTTCGCTGGAGTTATATCACTCTGAACATTGTTTTCCTATTACTTCCCTTGAAAAGATGATTTGACATTTTCTTTTATTTCGCTGTTATCTTCCTTGAAACCACATTAAACACAAGTGTTAGAATGTGGAAGGTCTTTAACATCATGTATGTACAAATGTTTCATCAATGACTTTTTTCGAATACAAATACTGAACTGTTGAACATGTGGAAGGTCTTCAATACCATGCATGTCCAAATGTTTCAACAATGACTTGGGAACACAATACTCACCTGCTGAACATGTGGGAGGTCTTTAATATCATGTATGAACAAATGTCTGTCCCTGTCAATTCTCTTCTTGAATTTTCGATTGCACACATGGCACTGATGAATGACAGTGGTTCCTTTGGCACCTCGACCCTGTTAATGAAATTGTTTAAATATGGTTACAGTACAGGACAGTCCCAAGCAGCAAAAAGAAACCCTCCATACAAAGCATATTTATCTCCACCCTATGCTACCAGTAGATGCTGACCAGCTGATCTTAAAGTCATGGGTTTAAATCTTGATGGGGCCAGACTTTTTAATTTAAAAAAAAAAAGACCTTGACTCCCAGGTCAACACAGCCTTAATTGGGTACCAGGTAAAGTCCTGGGGAGTAAAGGTGGTTGGCATAATGCTGATCGCATCTCCTGCTGCCGATGGGTCTATAAAATATGGGTAGGCTTAAATGCTCAATAGACATGAACGCCGAATAAAAGGGTCCATTATAAGACGGTCTCAAGCAGCACACATTTCATACAAAGCACCCTATGCTACCAGTGCCAGATGGCCTCTAACACAGCAAATCAAAAAAGAAAATTAGTAACCATGTGCCTGAGAAAAGCACAGGAGTGACCAGAAGAGACAAACATCTCACTAGCTTAGAGAGATCCTTAATTCAGTGCAACTGGTAGTGATCCGCGTGCCATCTGCTAGGCCAATTGTGACCCTCAGGCCACCAGTTGAATAGTGCTGATGTATAATATGCCAATATCAACAAGTCTTTTTTTTTTCATAGGAATGGATAAATCATTTTCCCTTTGTTTGTATGGGAAAATTTTTTTGGTTTACATCCTGTCTGGTGTAAGTCAAAAGATCTGGAACATATTAAGGGTACCACTGTAGGTGGGCAAATAATTCAGATATCAGGTGCTATAACACTTGTCTGTCCTGGAAGATAACAAGAACATCAAATTATCTTAGGAAACAACAAGAAACTATGCTGCGTTGCTTGGTAACAGTAAAGTAAAGGACTTTCTCCACACCTTCAGGCTTACTGGGCATAGAGGGCTAGACCTATATTTCACAGACCAATCGGCATGCGCTGGGTGATGTGGTTAACTTCATGTCAATCACCTTTACTTCCCAGGACTTTACCTGGTACCCATTTAAGGCTGGTACCCATTTCTGAAAAAAACTCGGACCAGGACCTTCAGATCCATAGGTGAGCCTCTAGCTGTTACACTGTGGTGGCTCTGTTATCTGTTACTGAAAGAATTATTATTACAAATATAAAATGCTGTAGTAGTTCTTCTTTCATTCACTCGAAATAGGTTACCTATATCTGCAGTTCTGTTTCTAGTATGAACTTCACTGTCTGTTGTAATTCAATCAGTGACCCGTAAAGTTGGGCTTTTCCCAGTGTTTCTCTTGGCCAAAGATTTCACCTTGATATGTTGTATTTGTATCCTTTTTGGAGAATGTGATCTGTTGTCTCTGTAGTGATCCTAGCCCTTTTATAAACTATATAATTTTATAAAAATTTCAAATCTAACACAAACTACATAAACCATGCCATTGATTTGTAAATTAAGTAAAGATTCCTTTTCCACGCCTTTAGGCGTATAGGGCATATAGGGCCAGACCTATATTTTTATAGACCAATCGGCACAAAATAGGTGATGTGTTCAGCATCACACCGGCCGCCTTTACTTTCCGGGACTGCACCCGGTACCCACTCAAGGCAGGGTCAACCTGGGAGTCAAGATCATTTTTGAAAAAAGTCCAGCACTGCCACAGAGAGAACCGACGACCTTCCGATCCGCACACTAAAGTCTAGTTGCTACACCATGGCGACTACCGCCGTTGTAAAATGTCAAAATTGCTGTTAGGAGTGTTAAGGACATGATATCATTGTGCAGATGAATGCAGTGATGTCATAATGACAGTTTAAAGACGGCTGACCCATTTCTGACAGGCACCAAAGAGGAGCAGCGCTCTGTTATATATTTTTCGATCAGTAAAGGGACTAATCTTCATCAAGAAACAACAAATGAAGTGGTTTGGACACCTAACAAGAATGCCCTGGTACTATATGCCACAGAGAGCAATACTAAAACGTTACAACAGGTATAGAGCGAGTGGAAGACCTAGGAAAATATGCAGTGATGGTATTAAGAACAGCCTTACAAAAATGAACACAGGTCTTAATAGTGTTCTTGACAGAGCTCATTAATGAATGTTACATCTCCCCCGACACTTCTTTGAAGTACAAGGTACAAGATGGAAGAGGAGTAGAAGAAAAAAGGGATGAATCCTGTCGACAAATTTAGGTTTAGTATGGGGATGCAAACCTGTCTGTCCATCATGGTTTCTGTGATTCCTATCACACTTTTAAGGTTTTCATTTGAAACCCTCTTGTATATTAATGCATGGAAGATGAGCCCATATACTTTGAGGGAAAATAAAGATTGGGGGGGGGGGGGGGGGGGGGGGGGGGGGGGGGGGGGGGGGGGGGGGGGGGGGGGGCCATGCAGCCTATCAGAAGTGCACAGATGCAGGATAATAATGACTATATCACCCAACTGGACAGGTCAACATTCTACACTAGGGATAGAGCTTTGAGGTTTTGAACAATGGATCATCATCATGGCACATGGGTGTAACCCATTAGTGCTCCATTCTTCTTCTAACTCAAGTCTGACGAGTATCCTATAATACTTTGGGTAGTTTTCAACTCCAAATTTTGTCCCGGCGGCACCGTTAGGCTACTCTTTTCAATTTCCAACAGCCAAGGGATTTTTACGAAGATGGGAAATTGGATAAAGAAATTAACATTAGATGCAGTAAAGCAAACCAAGTATAGGGACAGCTAGCTCCCCTCTTACAGCATAAGACAATCCCAATCAGCACAAAGAGACATCTTATTCGAAGCATATTTATTCCAACTCTGTGCTACCAGTGCCAGACATGGTCACTTACAACAAACCATAAAAGAAAATTAGTAACCACGGAAATGAGATGTCTGAGATAAGATGAGGAATTAGATCATAAGAGAAAAAGTCGGCACAGAACCAATTCTGAATTACATACGAAGAAAGCAAGTGAAATGGTTTGCCCACTTAGAGAGAATGCCTTGTGACACCATACCATACAAAGCATACATGGAAAGAGAAGAAGGACGTAGAGCATGAGGCAGACCAAGAACAACATGGAAGGATAACATCAGAGAAACTCTACAACAGCACGATGTGCCTATGGTCAAGGCGGCCAGAAGAGCTAGAAACAGAACCTTATATCGCCCTCGACACCCACAGTGGAAGAAGAGGAAGTGAAGAAGAAGCAGAAAAAGGGGTTTTTACATGTACAGCAATGCACAAGGGCCTCTTTTCTCACTACCAAGAGACCAGGGGAATTACAAGAGGTCCAAGTCCACATAAAAAAATAACAGCCCTTACTGGGGATTGAACCAGGAACCTCTAGCACTCAAGGCGGACACCATACCTTGAGACCACACAGCCCCCTACACTGGGGTTAAGGCATAACAAGCTTATGCACAGGTTCCCTCTGTCACAGCTGTGCTCATGTAGGCTGTGGGTACAAACTATAGAACATATCCTGTAAAACTGTTTCTAAAACTGTTTCTAATAGAGCCCATAAAAACTATAGAACATATCCTGTAAAACTGTCTCTTATACAGCCTATTAGGAAGAGGATACTGGCCCAGCGAGTCAACACCATACTCACAGTGTTACGAAATTAAAGAGGAGCTACAGAATTTGATAAATTTATCAAAAGAACTCATCCGTTGGTGTAAATCATTCTACTCAGTTAACACAGGGGCCAAAATGCTCAAAATGATTGTTTCATTGCAGGCAAGAAGCCCGAGCCCCAGCAAAGAAAGATCATTAAAACAACAAGACTGGTGATCCATGGGCAACTTGCTAAGTAACTGCAGGCCAGTTTGTCCCGCAGGCTGCTAGTTGAATAAATAAAAGCAACGAAAGGATCCTTTTCCACGCCTTCTGGCATATAGAAGACCTATATTTTATAGACCAATCAACACTTGACCGAAGAAGAAAATACAGAAAGATTCATTTAATAAAGTAACAGAAAATGTACTGATCAGCACTAATGGAAAGAAGTAGAAAAATAGAAGAAAGAATTCATTACCCTAGCTCCCTGTGTGGGTTCCAGGACCCTATAATAGGGAAAACAAAAATAGACCCACTGCCTACCCAAAAGCATGTCGGGAAAGTCGAGTAACTGGGAGCTTCCTTCAAAGTCAGAGTGCATCTGCCTGAGAGGCAAGGAACCAGCAGTCTGCGTACAAATGAGTCAGGTCTGTAAAGCGGATACACATGCAACACTCAGGTTCAGAATCAGAACTGCAGTCCAGAAGTGGACGAACAACCAGAACTTTTTGCTGGAGTTTACAGCTGGTGATTGCGAACAAACGAACAAACAATAACCTTAGCATAATTAGGAACAAAATGACTGACCACAAAAACAGCTGACCTGTAAAAATGTTTGCAAGTAATCTTTGCCTTTCTTGTCTGTGTGATACTTGCGGATGTGGTTGATGAGGGACTTGAGGGTGGAGTAGTCCTTCTGGCACAGCAGACACTGCGACCTGCGGCTGTCATGGGTCATGTGGTGCTCCACCAGATGGCTCTTGTTGACAGTCTTGAAGTCACACTGGTCACAGCGGTAGTACTGGCCCGTGTGTTTCCTCATGTGTGTGTACAAGTTACCTGCACATTGTTGGATGATCAAACAATCATTTTGAAGCCCAAGACAGAATATTGTGTGCATGTTTACACTTTATTCTCTTACCATTCACCGGCTGTAATCTCCGGCAAAAAGTTCTGGTTGTTTGTCCACCTTTGGATTTTAGTCATGTTCAAGAACGTGATTTTAGGTGCACATCCATTTTATAGATCTGGCTTATTTGCATACATACAGACTGTTTGTTCCTCAGGCAGCGGCACTCTGAAGAAACACCCCCTAAGTAGTTCGCTTTTATGACATACTTGTTAGGGAGGCAGTGGATCTGCTCCTCCCTCCTCCAAAACTGAGTTCCCTGAGCACCATCATAGTTTCTTCAACTCTTTCTATGTGTGCCAATCAACACGCCATGTGTGATTGTACTTCTTACATTCAGTCAGATCATACTAAAGAAATCAGGAAATATGCTTTTTAAAATTTTGTAGAACTAGTCTCTTCAAATAATATATATTTATTATTGTTTTTAAAAATATGCATACACCCACATACATTCACGCACCCACATATATACATACATACACACACAAAAACACATGCACATACCTACAAACAAACACATACACGTGCGGAGACACAAACACACACACAAACCCACAGACTCAAACACACATACACGCAGACACACACACAATTGCTGATTCTCGCTGATTCTCATTCAGACGCATACACACACACAGGCACACACACAGATACGTGCAGACACACAGACAAACACACATAGACATATACACACAGGCACATACACAGATACACACATAGACACACACACACAAACACTAGTCAGAGGTCAACCTCCATGAAAGTTGATACAAGACACTGAAGATGCATTGGCTATGAAAGCACATACAGCAAGAATTTTCTAGAAAAAGAGAGACTTTCAGGGGTACCGTGACAAGAGCAGCGGAAAGTTTGAAACCCAGTCACTCAAACAGCCACTATATACTTTAACAGCAGGAAATCCCAGAAACCATATTCAACCCTTTAACAATTACACTAGCTACCAACCTTTGGAATTTGTTGAATATGTGCACTTGTTACACTTGAATGGCTTCAGATCTGTGTGCGTGACACAGTGCAGACGTATGTGGGACAGGGACTTGAACACTTTCTCACACACATTACATGAGTACACTGAAAGTGATGACATAGTGGGCGTGTTGTAGACCATCCCACTCAACTCATTCAGTTCCTGCTCAATAATGTGAATTCTGAACATGTGATCCACCTGCAAGGGGAAATGCAATGTGTTATTCATATGTTGAAACCTGAACAAGTTTGGGATCTAGTTTAACCCATGGACTACCAAGCCCGTTAACCCTTGCACCTTCCCAGATACCATTTTTTAAGTGCCTACTAAAAATGACTTAGCTTCATAACCATTTGAGATAAACTCCTAAATGACTGTGAAATAAAATTCTGCAAATTTAGTGACTATCTGCCATTCTGCACCAAGAACTTCCGCTACAGTGCGAGTGAAATGTCAAACTGAAAAGCCACACAAACGATCTTTTCCCAAAACATGCATCGCGGGAATGGCACCCCGGTAAATATCGAGCTCTGCATTGTGAAACAATCCTCACTAAACTCTAAGCCACAGAATCATAATATACACAATCCATACTAACAGAGGCATCTAACAATACACACCTGGAGCTCATACATGAAACAGTTTACAAGAACTAATGTAACACAACAAACCTACCTCTGACTGCTGCGTCACTCAATCAATCCTCATCGCGTCCAGAAGCAAATAAAGCAGAGATAAACTGTTGCCATTAAATTTGATATTGAGCCATCCTCATTATCTCCAGTTTTATCCTTCACATAGCCTTGAATTCAGTCTCAAAAATTCGCCTCCAAGTGCCTCTGGGCCTGCCTCTTTCTCGCTGTCCATTGCCTGTCTCTGCCATCTCTCTTTCTTCATTCTGAGGATCTGTCCAATCCACCATCATCTTCATTTTTTGATTTCTAAATTTAACTCTTCTAAGTCTGTCATTTGTTGTAATCTGGAATTGTTGATCTTATTTTCTCATGTGAACCCCAACAATCTACTGAGAAGTCTTGCCTCAAAATCTCTGAGCATGCTCTCTATATTTCTGTCTGGTTTCCAAGTTTCTGCTCCATAAAGGAGAACTACACTAACACATGTTTGTATATCCTGAATTTAGTTTTAGTGCTGTAGATGTTTGATCTCCAGACAATCTGAAGTCTGTTGTAAGCAGCATTTGCCTTTGCAATTCACTGCTTGATTTCAATCACTACATTTCCACGCGAAAAATAATGCTTCGTAGGTAGGTGAAGTCAGTTACTGTTTCCAAACCTACATTATCTATTACTATAAGTCTTTCACTTGGGATTTACATCCAGCAGTTTTGTTTTATGTTATTCCCCTGCTGTGAGCTAAATGTCGTCTTCCAGTTTCCACTATGTTTTTGATGACAGTTCATAATAAATATCAGAGTTACAGTCATCAAACTGCTCAGAAACATCTTCACCTTCACTTTCTAATTTAAAACAACCAAGACAATTTCACACTGCATCCTAAAAATTCTTTGAACTGTTCCACCATGCCAGCCCCTAACGATCAGCTCATTCATGTAAAAACGCGCCTAATGCATATTTGACATGAGAGCTAACCTAAAAAGTTAGTGGAAAAATTACTTTAAGCATCATCAAATTGTTTCTCTTAAATAACCATAGATAAATAAATTGACTTACGACTTCAACTATATTTATGATACATGAAATTTTAACATGGCAGCAAGCATCTAAAGTTATGATCGCGGTAGCCAGGCATAAACGTCAGCAGATAGCATAACGTGCTATTGTGGCAGTTGGTTGGTTAAACTTATTTTACAAACTAAAATGAAAAAATTTTTAAAAATATATACATAAGTTCCTTTCCAACTGGAACAGGTTGTTGCGTATTATTTTCTAATCTTTTAAAATAATTTAAACTGTGGGTGGCATTTTCTTTTCTAGTTACTTCTTATTTTGTTTCAGAATCTTAGGTTACATTTTTCTACATTGCTCAGTCTTATGTTATTAATTTTTTTCTGCTTACAATCATAAGTAACGTGACTTTCTGCTAAATTTTTTATGTTTTTTCTCCTGAAAATCCTGGGTAACTTTATTTTCTCCTCAAAATCCTGGGTAACTTTATTTTCTGCTCAAAATCGTTATTAACCTGTTATTTCCTTAGTCCCAAATTTTCGCCACTATTTTAATTTTCTGCAGGAAATTTTGTGTTACATTATATTTTTCTGCTGGAAATCTTGCGTAACTTTTTATTTTGCTGCCAAAAATATTTTTTTTTTTTAAACCCAAGAATAACTTTCTACATTCTAAATTCCTGCTAAAATGATCATGATACTTTCCCCACAATTCGATGTTGGAAATGTTGAATAAGAAGCACCAAACCTGTGATAGATCCACATCAATGCAAGCTTCAAATTCTGTCTTATCATAATCACTGCGGAAGATTGGCAAATTTTCCATATTTTCTGCAGCAGCTTTCAACTGGCGAGCGCCGGAATTTTCATTATGAACATCAACACGACACTGAAAATTTAAAAGAAAAAAAAAACAGAAATGAAAGCTCAAGAACTCGTATAACTATCATCTCAAGGGCTGTGTCAGTAAATGTAAACTGTCAAGTTTCACCATTTCACACAGTCAACAGAATTCATAGATAAGGTCAGTGTCCTTGTCTCACCTCATTCATATGACCAAACAATCAACATATTTATTTCTTTGCAATCCTCTTGCTCTTTTTTCTAAACCACAATATAAATGTGTCCTTTTATGATAATAAAAGAAATGTAAAGTATAAAACAGCAGGAGAAGACAGACACTCAACAAGGACATAAATGAAGACGAGATCCCAGGTACCTAGGACAGGACACACCTCAGAAAGAATATCGCCACATAGGATCTAAAGATGACCCAGCCATAAATATAAGGCATACCTCAAAAACACAGGAAGCACAGCCAGGAAGACAGACACACGGATAAGGAACCCCTGCCAGGACCTACAAAGAGGACCCTGACGTGTTCAGAAATTCCCACATCTCATTCAGTTTGGGACACTAAACCACAACTACTGGCACAACAAACCATTTAACCCACTGAACTTGGTGCAAATAAAACCACACACAATTATAACTTTTGTAATTTTATATGGCTCTGAAACTTGGAGCACAACTTAAAGAGATGAAGTCTTATTGCAGGTTTATGAAAACAGAGACTTATGACGAATCTTTGGACTCATCAAAAAGGCAAACAGTGGTGAATGGAGAGTGAGAAGCAACAATGAAATGTATAATCTGTTAAAATCATCATCAGTTCTCGTTATACCTAGTGGTACATGAGGCTGCAGGGAGGACTTTCCATGCTTTCCTGTCCTGTGCAATCTTCAGTTTAAAGATTTTTTCTTCTTCTGTTTAAATCACCATTGATAAATGGCATCATGAGAGCTAATAGACTGACATGGTTGTGGCATATTGAGAGAATGACAGAGAAGTGGAAAAACTGTATACACATGGGAGATGAATGGTCGCAGACCATGAGGCAGACCAAGAAGATATGGAGAGATAATGTCCAGACAGACCTGCAAACACTTGGTGTTACCAACTGGAAAGAGAAGGCTAACCAGAGAGATGAATGGAGGTGGGTGATAATTGCAGCAATGAACCTCATGGGCTCCGAATACTGAAGAAGAAAAACAACAACAATTATAAATGAATCTTTTCTCAGCAATATTGAAGGTGGTCACAAAACTGTTCTCCACAAAACCAACAAAAAGGATGCAATGAAATTCAACAATCAGTAGTAAGGCATATGTAACACATAACTACACAATAAGATCATGACAGATCTTAAATATTCACAATTTACCCAACTCTAGACAGTCCATATAAGGATATCACCATCATCAAGTGCCTTGCCAGCTGGCTTAGGTGTTCACACATCTCAACAGATCTCAGTTCTTGGTGTTGTGGATCAATTCCACTGTCTTAAGCCATCCACCATCATTTCTCCTTGGCCTGCCTTTGCCTCTTCGATTCTCAACCCTTGAAAAATAAGGCTTGTTCATTTGTTTGTTCTTCTATTAGTGATCTTTTCAGTCATCACGATATTTTCCAGTGCTCCTTTTCTCGTCAAATGACTAAATAACTTTGTTTGTCTCCTTCTCATTGTTGTATATAATGTTCTACTTTCATTAGCCAATTCCAGGAAATGATCGTTAGTTATTCTGGCAGTCAAATGTACTCGCAGCATTCTACTGAAGAACCACAACTCAGCTGCCTCTACTCTTCTCAATTTGTTTGCTCACATTTCATATAAGGATATACAAACGGTAAAATCCTGTTAACGTCAATTCAAAGGGACTGGAAATTTCTTGCTAACTGGGAACTGAAAATGAATGCCTTTTATTTTTATTATACTGGGCTCCCTGTCAGAATGGAGGATAGGCATGTTAACTGTTTTAAGCTGTTGCAAATTTGTGCTTCTGAAATTAGTTGCTACTGCATTTTCCTCCATTTGTAGTTAGTTAGTTGGTTACAGGATTTTGCAGAACCAATCCCAGCATTTTTTGGCTGTTGTATTTTTGTAGGCATATGTTATGTTCGGTAGTGCTTTCTGAAAAAGTCAGCCCTTTGCACCACTGTCAAAAACAATGCAAGACAAATCGTCCACAGCTGGGATCAAACCCAACACCCTGGTATTACGAAGCAACAGATGCTGACTGTGGATGGAAAGGATATAGTTTTGTCACTCAGCCGATGAGCTGAGTGCATAGCGCAACACTGTGAGCGGTGGATTTCATTTTGGAATTATTTATTTTTGACTGACCAACGAGGTATTGTGAACTGTAGAATGAGAAAATGGCTAGTAGTCTGCTACAACAGAAATGATGGTGCCTTATGTGGTTAAAATCAATCGTGTGTGCAACTACTGTTCTGTTTGTAACTTCTGCACTGTGTTTGTGTAAACACTTCTGATGACTGCCTTATGCTTCTAATGCCTGTGTGTGCTAGTGGATATGCTAAGACTACAGTATGTGTCAGTGTTTTCCACAAGGGACAGTGATGGACATTCTGTGTGTTTTTCATTTGCACACAAGTGGACCAGCTGTGAGGGTGACCCATTTGCTATGAAACTAAGATTACAAATATTGTTATTTTTATATTAGATACTATTATATTACTAATCTAAATCACAAAATTTCACATATCTTGGTAGTGTGGTGTCCCTATTGGGAGGGACAGAGGAAGAAACAAAGTATGAACAAAGCTAGAGCTGCTTTTGGAAGGATGAGGCAAATCTGGAAATGCAACAATTACTGCAGAGGAATGAAACTTCGACTCTACAAGAGCATCATTTTGCCAGTTCTTCTTTATGGAGCCGAGTGCTGGAGAATGACCAAAAAGGATGCACACAAGATATCCACCTTCGACCACACATGTCTACGTAGAATTGTCAAAATTTTCTGGACAATTACAATCTCAAACACTAAACTACTTCAAGTCACAAACCAAGAAAGTCTAGACAGTATGATAACCAAGAGAAGATGGAAATGGCTTGGCCACGTCATGAGAATGAATTCTGATATGCCTGCCAAAACAGCTCTTGAATGGATACCAGAGGAAACGAGAAAAAAGGGGCGCCCAAAAACAACATGGAGACGAACAATAGAGTGACCTGAGTACTGCATCTCTGACATGGAAAACTGCACTGAAGATTGCACAGGACAGGAAAGCATGGAAAGTCCTCTCTGAAGCCTCATGTGCCACTAGGCATAAAATGAACTGATGATAATGATATTACTAATCTCCACCTCTTAAAGAATCGTGACGGTGTTGCTTTTTTTCTAAAAAACATAGATCAAATCCAGTTTATTTAACGCAAAACAGTACCAAACTGATCAAACAGGCCTCTCATGGACTGGCTTATCAGATGAAACTGAAATAAAGGTTTCTCAGGGATTTGTAACAGATGGCAAAACTCATATTTAAGTTTCTCAGAATGACAAGATTAATAATACATCTACCATCTGCTGTTATCAGAGTACTGAAATACTTAAATGTAAAGAAGGTGGAAAAGGGGAAGAGGCAAATTTCTCAGAACAGTAGAATACAAACCTTCAAATTGGAATGTCTCCTCTTTCTTCCTCTCCTCTTCTTCTTTCCATCCTTCTCATCACACATTACTTCTTCTTTATCCATCTCTTTTTCATCGTCATCCTCTTCTCTCTCCATATCAAGTGCATCATCGACCGGGGCTGTGAAATCATCCTCTCCATCATCCTGGGCACCAGCATCCAGATCTAGAGCCTCATCTTCATCTCCTGCCAGAGATAAACAGAGACATAAACAGTGAATCAAACATTCAGTGATGTCAGTACTAGACTATTTCATCCTCATCTCCTGCCAGAGATAAACAGACATAAACAGTGAATCAAAGGCATTCAGTAATGACAGTGCTAGACTATATCATCATCATCTCCTGCCAGAGATAAACAGAGACATAAACAGTGAATCAAAGGCATTCAGTAATGACAGTGCTAGACTATATCATCCTCATCTCCTGCCAGAGATAAACAGAGACATAAACAGTGAATCAAAGGCATTCAGTGATGACAGTGCTAGACTATATCATCTTCATCTCCTGCCAGAGATAAACAGAGACATAAACAGTGAATCAAAGGCATTCAGTGATGACAGTACTAGACTATATCATCCTCATCTCCTGCCAGAGATAAACAGAGACATAAACAATGAATCAAAGGCATTCAGTGATGTCAGTATTAGACTATATCATCCTCATCTCCTGCCAGAGATAAACAGAGACATAAACAGTGAATCAAAGGCATTCAGTAATGACAGTACTAGACTATATCATCCTCATCTCCTGCCAGAGATAAACAGAGACATAAACAGTGAATCAAAGGCATTCAGTGATGACAGTACTAGACTATATCATCCTCATCTCCTGCCAGAGATAAACAGAGACTTAAACAGTGAATCAAACATTCAGTGATGTCAGTACTAGACTATATCATCCTCATCTCCTGCCAGAGATAAACAGAGACATAAACAATGAATCAAAGGCATTCAGTGATGTCAGTACTAGACTATATCATCCTCATCTCCTGCCAGAGATAAACAGAGACATAAACAGTGAATCAAAGGCATTTAGTAATGACAGTGCTAGACTATATCATCCTCATCTCCTGCCAGAGATAAACAGAGACATAAACAGTGAATCAAACATTCAGTGATGTCAGTGCTAGACTATATCATCTTCATCTCCTGCCAGAGATAAACAGACATAAACAGTAAATCAAAGGCATTCAGTGATGTCAGTACTAGACTATATCATCCTCATCTCCTGCCAGAGATAAACAGAGACATAAACAATGAATCAAAGGCATTCAGTAATGACAGTGCTAGACTATATCATCCTCATCTCCTGCCAGAGATAAACAGACATAAACAGTGAATCAAAGGCATTCAGTGATGACAGTACTAGACTATATCATCCTCATCTCCTGCCAGAGATAAACAGAGACATAAACAGTGAATCAAAGGCATTCAGTGATGTCAGTACTAGACTATATCATCCTCATCTCCTGCCAGAGATAAACAGAGACATAAACAATGAATCAAAGGCATTCAGTGATGTCAGTACTAGACTATATCATCCTCATCTCCTGCCAGAGATAAACAGAGACATAAACAATGAATCAAAGGCATTCAGTAATGACAGTGCTAGACTATATCATCCTCATCTCCTGCCAGAGATAAACAGAGACATAAACAGTGAATCAAAGGCATTCAGTAATGACAGTGCTAGACTATATCATCCTCATCTCCTGCCAGAGATAAACAGAGACATAAACAATGAATCAAAGGCATTCAGTAATGACAGTGCTAGACTATATCATCCTCATCTCCTGCCAGAGATAAACAGAGACATAAACAGTGAATCAAAGGCATTCAGTAATGACAGTGCTAGACTATATCATCCTCATCTCCTGCCAGAGATAAAACAGAGACATAAACAATTAATCAAAGGCATTCAGTAATGACAGTGCTAGACTATATCATCTTCATCTCCTGCCAGAGATAAACAGAGACATAAACAGTGAATCAAAGGCATTCAGTGATGACAGTGCTAGACTATATCATCCTCATCTCCTGCCAGAGATAAACAGAGACATAAACAATGAATCAAAGGCGTTCAGTGATGTCAGTACTAGACTATATCATCATCATCTCCTGCCAGAGATAAACAGAGACTTAAACAGTGAATCAAACATTCAGTGATGTCAGTACTAGACTATATCATCATCATCTCCTGCCAGAGATAAACAGAGACTTAAACAGTGAATCAAACATTCAGTGATGACAGTACTAGACTATATCATCCTCATCTCCTGCCAGAGATAAACAGAGACATAAACAATGAATCAAAGGCATTCAGTAATGACAGTGCTAGACTATATCATCCTCATCTCCTGCCAGAGATAAACAGAGACATAAACAGTGAATCAAAGGCATTCAGGGATGACAATACTAGACTATATCATCCTCATCTCCTGCCAGAGATAAACAGAGACATAAACAGTGAATCAAAGGCATTATGAATCTATTTTAACAATGAACAAGACACCTCATTACCTGAATCTATTTTGACAATCTCCCTTTTGGTGATATCCACATAAGAGGAGGATGCTAGGCACTTGTGGGTGTTGAAGTGTCGCTCTTTGGTGAAAGTCCGCTTACACATAGGACACACAAGTTTGCCATCTGCATCTACAGGTTAAAAAGTTGCAGGGGAATAAATTAAGAATAAAAACAATTTTCACAAGATTTTCTGACAAGTTTATATTTAAAAAATTAAAAACATACTGTGTATCATGGAGTGGATTCTGGCCGGATGTTCTTTCCGCTAGAGTTCGGGGAAAGGCTGTTGCTCCACAGAACACAGTCTATGAGACTACACCTTACGTATGAATTTGCAGATGGTTGTGATCACGGTGGCTTTTAAGTGATTAGCTAGGGCTAGTCACCAGAGTAATGATAAGTGTGCATTTTCAGGCACTGTTGCATGGGAGCTCTTTCCTTTCAGAATGCAATCCTGAAGACCCAATCAATCTCCTTACCTGCAAGAATACTGAACTGTTCCCACAGAATACTGAACTGTTCCCACAGAATACTGAGCTGGCACCCCAGGATACTGAACTAGCACTCTAGAATACTGAACTGTCAACCCAGAATACTGAACTGGCACGCCAGAATACTGAACTGGCACCCCAGAATACTGAAATGGCACCTCACAATACTGAACTGGCACCTCATAATACTGAACTGGTACCTCATAATACTGAACTGGCACCCCAGAATACCGAACTGGCGCCCCAGAATACTGAACGGGCACCCCAGAATACTGAACTGGCATCCCAGAATAGTGAACTGGCACCTCATAATACTGAACTGGCACCTCATAATACTGAAGTGGCAACTAATAATACTGGACTGGCACCTCATAATACTGAACTGGCACCTCATAATACTGAAGTGGCAACTAATAATACTGGACTGGCACCTCATAATACTGAACTGGCACCTTAGAATACTGAACAGACACCCCAGAATATTAAAAATGTGCAGCAGATATGCTATCAATATGCAGGGAGATACCAGGTCTGGCCAGTTTACATTTTTGTTGGATACCAATATGCATATGCATAAGTTAAGGACAAGCGTCACATCACTGTCTTTACAAAGACCTGTTGCCTTTCCATCTAAAACCTACTGTCTCATTGAACACAAAAGAAAAAGAGGAGGCCTTGTTCAACTAGATTCAGAATGAACACTTGTCGCACAAGTGTGTACCAAGTAGAAACATGTGACTTTTTCAAAGCTTCCGTGTCTCTCTCGAAACTAGAGGTCTGGACTTTGGCCTTCCTTCAGCGAACTTCACCACAGGTTTGACCTGGCCAGCCAAAACCATATGTGTGTATAACAGAGCCAGATACATGGTTTCCTCGACTTATGACCGACTTCCTTTCCGACTAACAGGTCATTAGTTTAACTGGTTGTTAAGTAGAATTCATATTTTTCAACACTATATTCATTCAAATGAGCTATACAAACTGGAATAAAAAAACACACACAGAATTTAATATAAGTATATATAATTACTGTCATCATGTAGCAGGTCCTTTGCAGAACGTCGTTCTCATCACAGTCTGCCTGTAAGAAACTCGGTCTCTTGCCAGTTCTCCCGCCTCATGAACTTTCACACTCAAGGAGTCACTTATATCCTGTGCCCATCTTCGTGTCGGTCGGCCTCTGCCCCTCCTTCCTGGTATCATGCCTTCTGCTATAATTTTTTCAAATCCGTCGTGGCGCTTGATATGACCAAAATATTTCAGCTTTCGAGAAAGGATGCTGTTTATTAGCCAATCTTCTTTGATGTTCAGATCTTTTAAGATGTTAATATTTCTCATCTTCTTTGTCCAAGATATTCTGAGAATCTTTCTATAGCATTTCAGCTCAAAAGCCCCTATTCTCTGAGAGAACTGAGGACTGAGAGATAGTCCACGACTCACATCCGTATGTAGCCAGAGGGAAGATGCATGCTCTCAAAATTCTAATTTTTATCTCCTTGCTGGTGCTCAACCATAGACTTTTAAGGCTGTTCAATCTTTGCATTGCTATGGCTATCCTCCTTTTAATTTCCGTCGAACAGTCTCCATTGCTGTTTATTATAGAGCCTAGATATTCAAAGTTTGTGACATTTTCAATTTCTTCATCATTTATTGTTATTTTTGGGTGACAGCCAGTTTAATCTGTGGACATTATTTTCGTTTTCTTTAAATTCAAGAACAGATTTTGATCTTCACTGTGCTTTTGGACGGACAATATTAAATTTTCTATTCTTTTTACGCTGCTCGTAAGGAGGACTGTGTCATCTGCGTAGCGGAGTTCCGGAATAGGGTTGCCACCAATTTTGAGCGGATCATAACTGTCACAAGTCTGGTCATTTTTGACATTTCTCATTATATTTTCTGCGTATATATTGAATAGGTATGGTGAGAGAATGCATCCCTGCCTCACCCCCTTTTGCACCTCGAACCAATCAGATGTTTCACCAGCTGCTCTGATGGCTGCTTGCTGTGCATGATAGAGATTTTCAATTAATTGCACTAAATGCGCTGGAAACCCCATACTTTTCATAATAGACCACAGTTGGTGGTGCTGGACACAATCAAATGCCTTGCTATAATCAATAAAACAAGCATGAAGATCTACATTGTATTCTCTGCATTTTTCAAAAATTATTCTCATACTTAATATGTGATCCCTAGTTCCTCTACCCTGTCTGAAACCCGCTTGTGCTTCATCTAGTTCATATTGTAATTTCCAATCCTTTTCATGATAATTCGTAAGAGGATTTTGCTTGCATTACTTATTAATGCGATGGTACTGTAGTTGGAGCATAGTTTTTGATTTCCTTTCTTTGGGAGAGGGATATAGACTGTTCTTTTCCAAGCTTTAGGCCAAATGCCACTGTTCCAGATCTTCGAGCACAGTGCATGGTAGATTCGGACGCTGGCCTCTCCTCCTGCTTGAATTAGTTCTGCTGGTATTTCGTCGCAACCTGGTGACTTTCCTTTCTTCAGGCTGTGTATTGCTGATCGTACCTCATCCAGTAAAGGCTCTGGTTCTTTTTCATAACTTTCACAAGTCGTTTTTGAATTACCTGTCACATCCTCATACATTTCTCTACAGTATTATTTCCATCTTTCTAATATGTTTTTGGTTTCCGTTAATGTGTTATCGTTTTTATCACTTATTACATGTAAAGAAGGCCTGAATTCGTATTTCAATGTTTTAATTTCTTTAAACATGTCTCTGTCTCTTCCCTGCATCTGGAGTTGTTCAATTATATTACATGTATTAATAATAAACTGTTTTTATCTCCTCTGATAGCTCTTCTGAGTTTTCTTCAGATGATAATTACTGTACACAATGTAAAAAATATATAATGTGAGCTCTACTGCATCAGCTCCTGGAAATATGTGATCTACCAATGTAGCTGTCTTTCGTTAATTTTTGTCTGCGTGTGGTTGTAAGTGCGGACAGTCATAAATCTCATAGGTCGCAGGGTTAGGAGAAGGTGAATATGGTTGTAAGAACTGAGTTCCCTGATTGCACAGCTTGCAAATATACAACAGCACTTAACAACAGTAAATACGCAAGATACCTACCCACATCTTGAAAGATCTGAACATCAAGGAAAACTGGCTAATAAACAGCATCTTGTCTGGGAAGCTGAAATATTTTGGTCATATGAAGCGCCACGACAGATTTGAACAGATTATAGCAGAAGGCATGGCACCAGGAAGGAGGGGCAGGGGCTGACTGACACGAAGATGGGCACAGGATATAAGTGACTCCTTGAGTATGAAAGTACACGAGACGGGAGAGCTGGCGAGAGATCGAGTTTCTTTCAGGCAGACTGTGATGAGAGCGACCTTCTGCAAAGGACCTGCTACACGATGATGACTTACCCACAAACCAGTGCTCAGATAAACTTCTCAATTTTAAATCCCACAAATCAAACACAGCAAAATAATGATAGCAATTTGCCAGATCCCAACAGTGAATTATAATTTCTGTGCCGTTTCCACAATGAAGACAAGCTGCAGTGCTCTCACTGCTGTCTTTAGGAATACTATGCAGACAAGCCTCAATCTCTTCCACAGTGCGACTATTGCTAACATCATCCGAAATCTGTGAGAACTGTTTACAAAATATATAAAAATACACCATCCCACATGGAAATCAGATCCTAGTCTCAGCGATCAAGAAATCCAAACCATAACAGATACACGATACAAAGCTCGGTAATCTCTAGACTACAAACCCATAGATTCCCATTCATCCAGACTTTAAAAAAAACCTTGAAATACCATTGTCCTGGCTTATAAAGACACTACAGTCTAGTTAACACTTCATGCTTCATGCGTTCACATTCAGGCAGAGAGTTGTCATTGGATGCCCCCCTCCCCCCAATAGTGTCAACACTGCCACGCATCACTGCATCTCACCCTAAAACAACTCCCTGACGACTATAATTATGCTGAAATAAACAGGACGCAGTTTTTCTTCAATGCAGGATGTATGCCTCCCCCCACCCCACTTTCCTGAAATGAGATGTTTGAGAAAAGTAGTGACCAAATTTAAAGAGATCATATGCGATCTTACTGAGATCTTAGATCTCCTAACTACCACAAGTGCACTAACCACTAACTAGCACAAGTGCATTAACCACTAACAGTGCATTAACCACTAACTACCACAAGTGTACTAAGCCCCAACAGTGCAACAGCCACTAACTACCACAAGTGCACTAACCACTAACAGTGCATTAACCACTAACTACCACACGTTCACTAACCACTAACAGTGCATTAACCACTAACTACCACAAGTGCACTAACCACTAACAGTGCATTAACCACTAGCTACCACAAGTGTACTAACCACTAACAGTGCACTAATCACTAACAGTGCACTAACCCCTAACAGTGCAATAGCCACTAACTACCACAAGTGCACTAACCACTAACAGTGCACAAACCCCTAACAGTGCACTTGCCACCAACAATGAACTAACCACTAACAGTGCATTAACCAATAACTACCACAAGTGCACTAGCAACTAACTACAAGTGCACTAACCACTAACAGTGCACTAACTTCTAACTACCACAAGTGTACTAACCACCAACAGTACACTAACCACTAACTGTATCAAGTGCACTTACCACTAACTATCAAGTGCACTAATCACTAACTGCACTAACCACCACAAGTGCATTAACCACTAATAGTGCACCAACAACTAACTGCATGAAGTGCATTAACCACTACAAGAGCACTAACCAGTATGCACGGCCGCCTGGAAAACCTCTGGACTATACAATATTACTTACTTGTATCTGGCACTGTTGGTTTTGCCGTTGTTGGGGGAACAGCTTCTAGAACTTTGATTTTACCTTCCCCTGTTTTAGAGCGGCCTGCTCTTTTTTCTGAAAAATAAAATTATCATAAAAGTGTTACTGGGAGCCGCCATGGTTTAGCAGCTAGACGCTCGGCTGCGGATCGGAAGACAGTGGGTTCGATTCCTGGCGAGGGTTGGATTTTTTTTTCTCAAATGACCTTGGCTTCCAGGTTGACACAGGGTTGAGTGGGTACAAGGTACAGTCCTGGGAAGTAAAGGCGGCCGGCATGACGATGACCACATAATCCACCAAGTGCTCTTTGGTCTATAAAATATAGGTCTTGCTCCATACACCCAATACGCCTGACAGGCGTAGAAAAGGGTCCTTTACTTTACAAAAGTAGCATACAAAAGTAGAACTACTTTAAACATAAGCATCGAACCATGGGAAATTAGTAAACTTTTTCTCAGCATACAGCAGCTGTAAACCCGGGAGAAAATTTCTGGTTGTTCATCCACTTCCAGATTTTAGTACTGTTCCAGAACTTGAGTT